TCAGAATCCAGGTCTGGAGTCGACATCAGTGGGTTCAAGAAGCGCTTCAGATCATCCTGGAAGTCAATGAGAAGAAGCTGAAAAAGGAGTGATGTGATCGACTCTTGATTTGGGTTTGAGCTGGCAGTTCTGTATCGTCTGCATTAAATAGATTTTTAGGTTTAGACAAGTAAAAGAAATGTAAATAGGATTTGTCATTGCATAGTTTTCATGGTTTAGTACACATTGAAATAGCTTTATACATACCGTTATGGTTTTATGTATAACTGTATGTGGGCCTGCGAAAAGCAAAGGGAGGAGCGTTGATCTGAGAGGAAGAGGAAGTTTTAAAGAGTGTTATAAAGAGTGTGGTTGAACTGACCTGATAGCTCCTGTACACTTGTTCTCCCTCAATGGTTAAAATGTGTTTGTTCGCTTGTCTGCTTTGTGGTGAGTTCCTTTTTACTGCATTCTCAGTAGCTTGTGCATAAATGCTGTAGCTGTTAGATTATGTGCTGTTATGTTTGTTTGATTTGCTAAATGAGAAGTGAAGTCATTTACTTTTTGAAGAGAGTGATGTTTTTGACAGTGCAAATAATAAAATGGATCAGTGTTAATGGAAATGTCTGTATTTCAATCCATGTGTTCATTGACACTGTGGCAACTTTAAAATGTTTCCTATGTTTTTTATTTCTAGTCCTGATGATTGTGGAGACGGAGACTCTCACCGTAGTAGGACACGTTGGGAAAAATATAACAGCTATTTGTAGAAACCAAAATTTTGGGGGAGATGTAAAATCTAATGATAAATACATTTGTAAAAGTCCATGTAAGAAAGACAAACACATCATCATCAAAGCAAAATATAAAGAAGCTAAAAAAAAGGACAGAATACAGTTATTTAATGGACCAGAAGGTTTATATGTGACCTTCATTAATCTCAAAAAGTCAGACGCCGGAAAATATTACTGTGGAGTTGATCAGACTGGTCCTGATTCATATATAGAGCTGAATCTTAAAGTTATAGATGGTAAGTTTATGCACTTCTTTATCATTTTAAACAAAATAGCTTCCTTTTGTCAAAACTTTACATCCCAGTTAGTTAATGAAGCAATATACTTTATATTATGTCTGTTGTTTCCGTATCTTCTTCCAGGTCCTACAACAGCTGTCGACACAGTCACTGTAGTGTCTGCTGTGTCACTTGATGTTATAAGAAGCTCCACCATCCCTACAACCGAACTGGATATCTTTACTGATTTGTCTGATTCATACACAACACTTTGTACGACACCTACTGCATCAGCTTCACAAGGAAGTGGTATGAAGTTTACTTGTTTTATCTTGAAACATGTTTTATTGTTGATTAATGCAAGTTACTAATGATATAATGCTACTGCAGCACCATGGTCAATATATTAAAACATGTATTTTACTGA